GCCGCCACCACCACCACCACCGCCGTGACCGTATGCGGGATGGCCGTAAAAGAAATGTCCCGTTGAGGACGGGAGCATGTGATCTGTGGTAAGAGACAAATATTTGATCTTAAGGAAACTTTTTTTTTATTATCGTTTCAGCATTTTGTTTTACCATGCTCCTCGTCGGGCCCATCGTAGAAACCAACTTTACCGGATGGTAAAGCAGCTGGCATCGCGTAACCTGTCACTTCCCCATCGAATTCCTCGAAACTCTCGTCCTGATTACCATGCTTCTTCTTCGTTTTCCTTCGAGGAACGTAGTGCCTGTATACGTCGTCCAAAGTCGTCCTTCTGTGCGCACAAATTATATTTTTAATTAATTACGGATAATTCTTGAATTCGAAACTGACGATTACCTTTGCAACCAGTTTTTGTACTTGGAACTTCCCTCGTCCGCTAATAATTTATCGTGAACGGTGACGTTATCGATCGTGTCGTATAAATCATCTTTCCCCGCGTCCAATCGTCTCTTAACTCGTGGCGTCCTCATTAACTTCGCTATTTCCTCGGCCATGTAGCCGTGGCACAAATATTCGTTCATCCTTTTCCTGATGAGGGGAAGGGATGAATCACGAGACGTAAAAATTTGGATAATTTTTTTTTTTAATAATACGTACCTGTGATATTCCATCTCGGTTATGGCATCGTGGATGGATCCGTCCACGATTTTGTCCTCGATACTTTTCGTCGCGTTCACGCTCGTTTCTTGATCCGCGAACAAGAAGGATCCAGGTAAGAGATCGACGGAAAGAATATCGTTCTCGTCGATGCAAAATTCGTTTCCATCGTCGAAACATTCTTGCCCAGAATTTATGTGAATTATCGACAACAAACAAACAACGAGAAATCGGACGAATCGAGTTTCCTCGAACGAAGGAATCATTTCTAGAGTTAGACGCTATCTGACGAGCCGAGCAACCGACACTGAGAAGACTGGCAAAACGGAAGCACGCTGCTTGGAACAATCTGTTCAACTGGTAGAAATAATTGCTTTTAACCGTGCGTGTGTTTAAATGCCGTTGACAAACTTCTTCTGTTTCGAGTAACAGTTATGCTGGTAAGTGAATGAGTTTACAGTGATTTAATTAATCTTGTTAATAAATTATATTTTAAATTTTTTATTTCGATCGAGAGTTCGACGGAACGTGATTAAAATTTCAAGGATAAGAGTTTCCAATTTTTATGTCAATACGGTAAAAAATTTTTTTGGAAAATCTATATACCGCCTGATTCCGTTATTGTTTCGCGTTTCAATTTTTTAATTTAATCAATGAAATCTTGAGCTTTCAAATTAATGCAGAAAATTTATAAATCTTTCCTCGTAACTACTCATTTTCACTTTTTTAATCTAATCAATAGAGTGTTGGATCACGTTAAAATTTGACGAGGATCATTTACAAGCTTTCCAATTAATACAAAAATTAACGAAAATTTATAAATCTTTCGTCGTAATTACTTAACATAATAATTTCAATTTTTTATCTAATCAATAGACTGTTGGATCACGTTAAAATTTGATGAGGATCATTTATAAGAATTCCAATTTTTGTAATATATATTCTATAATACAAAAATTGATCTTTTGTCACTTAATACAATAATTTTTATTTAATCAACAAAGTCTTGGATCACGTTAAAATTTAACAAGGATCATTTACGAGTTTTTCAATTAATACAGAAATTAACGAAAATTGATAAATCTTTTGTCGTAATTACTTAACATAATAATTTCAATTTTTTATCTAATCAATAGAGTTTTGGACTACGTTAGAATTTGACGAGGATCATTTACGAGCTTTCAAATTAATATAGAAATATATAAATATAAAAATTTATATTTATATTAATACAGAATAATTATAATTTATCTTTCATCGTAACTACTTAATACAATAATTTCACTTTTTTAATCTAATCAATAGAGTATTGGACCATGTTAAAATTTGACGAGGATCATTTACGAGCTTTCCAATTAATGAAAATTTATAAATCTTTCGTCGTAATTACTTAATATATAATAATTTTAATTTTTTATCTGATCAATAAAGTTTTGAACTACATTAAAATTTGACGAGGATCATTTACGAGCTTTCAAATTAATATAGAAATATATAAATATAAAAATTTATATTTATATTAATACAGAATAATTATAATTTATCTTTCGTCGTAACTACTTAATAATAATTAATATAATACTTAATAATTTTATTTTTTTAATCTAATCAATAAAGTATTGGACCATTAAAATTTGACGAGGATCATTTACGAGGATTCCAATTTTTAATTTAATTTAATTTTTAATTTTTATAATATATATAATACATATTTAAATTTTATAATAATTTTATAATAATATATTCTATAATACAGAAGTGAAAATTGATCTTTTATCGTAATCACTTAATACAATAATTTTATCTAATCAACGAAGTCTTGGACCACGTCAAAATCTAACAAGGATCATTCACGAGCTTTCCAATTAATACAGAAATTAACGAAAATTGATAAATCTTTCGTCATAATCACTTAATACAATAATTTTATCTAATCAATGAATCTTGGACCAATCTTTGGAAAATTTAAGATTATTCACGAGTTTTCCAATTAATACAGAAATTAACGAAAATTGATAAATCTTTTGTCGTCATTAACTTAACACATAATAATTTCACTATTTCAATTTTTTATCCAATCAACGAAATCTTGAACCACGTCAAAATCTAACAAGAATTATTCACGAGCTTTCCAATTAATACAGAAGCGAAAATTGATAAATCTTTCGCCGTAAGACATGTTAACATCGCACCTATTTAACCCAGGCGTTGGAAGATAAAAGATAATGGCGTGAATTCTTCGAAAAACTGGACGATTAATTTTCAATGTAACCTCGATGTATAACTGGTATGGGCGCAGATATAGCCCACTCTCGCGAGATATTAGACAGGTGAGCGAGTTCCCAAGGGAACAAAGCCCCCATTACCTCATCTCCGGCCCACCCCCTCCTCCCAAAACCCTCCGCTTCTAAAACATTCATAAGTGCGCGGTGTAAGTGGTTTTTAATAAACGTATTTAATCATAGGTGTCCGATTACGTGCGAATCCAATCGGGCTGGCGGGTTAACGTCACTCCCTTACGATTAACCATGTGTCCAAATAAATCCATTTTGTTTGCATGAGGGATATTTACCTACGAACCACAAGTCGTTGTAAATTTTCTAAATGAATCTTAAATTTTTTTTCCCCTTTTTTTTTTAAAGAATCTCCTTTCGAAACACGTATCTTACAATACCAACGAATTCTATTTTCCCCTTTTGTTAATCACTTTTTTTAAAAATCTGTTATGTTCAATCAAACTATTAACTATTAACTCATTTACGATACATTTCATCTTCGTACTTCGCTACAATGTTTCATTTTATTAATATAGTTAATAAAAAAAATATTAACGTAGTTGCATTAAGACCATGACCAATTATTCTATCATTTAGTTTACTAAATATATTAGTTAGAACAGCAATTTGAATTTATAGATCTTTATCTTTACTTTTTATTATTAATTTAATTAATTCATCAATAATTACTATATTATGATTTCGTGATATTATTAGGGAAAGAAGTTTTCAAGGTCTACATACAATATATGTAATTAACTTTTTAAAATTTAGAATAATTTTATTTATTATTTCTGAATTAATATTTTTTATTTCATTTTTTTGAACATTCTTTCATTCATCTATTTCACCAAATATTGAAGTTGATATAATATGACCACCTAAAGATATTAAATTCTTTAATCCATTTGATATTCCACTATTAAATTCATTTATTCTAGTAACTTCAGGTTTTACAGTAACATTAAAAATTATTTTAATCTAAGAAAAATATATTTAATATTAACAATTTTTTTAGGAATTTATTTTACAATTCTTCAATCAATTGAATATTTAAATTCATATTTTTGTTTCAATGATAGAATTTATGGATCAATTTTTTTTTATAGCAACTGGATTTCATGCACTCCATGTATTAATTGGATCAATTTTTTTATTCGTATCA